GAATAGCTCTGTGTGTGTGTGTGTGTGTGTATGATATATGTAGTTTTTTAAGTAAAATTTTATTTTATTTGAGATTTTTAACATTTACAGAGAAACTAGATTTTCATTCATTGACTGTAGCACATATTACCCCCCTCCCTCTACAGTTCAATATCTATCTATCTATCTATGTATATATATGCATATATGTATGTATATATGTATATATATTAATTCATTGCTGCACAATTACCTCCCTCCCCCACCCCCGAAGTCCTCTTTGCATTGATGTATCTCTTAGTCTGGGCTGTTTTCATGCATATAATGCCTAATCATATATTCCTTCTACATAGTTCTTTCATCTGTTCCAATGCCGTGGCCATTATCTGTCCACTGTTATACTACTCTCCTCCCAACTGCCCATATCATACCTGCTATATAATAGTAGTGCTATGGTTCTCAAAAAGTTGGAAATAGAAATATCATTTGACCCAGCAATGCCACTAAATCTATCATTAATAATAATTACAACTTATAACATATAATTTCTAAACTGGCAGTTCAGGGGAAAAGACATACAGTCCTTAATGAGTCAAGTCTTCATTTTGATCATAAAAAAAAAATTCAGAGCTACTATGAAATAGCATATCTTACCTATCAGACTTAAAAAAAAATTTTAAATCCAGCAACAAACCCTAAAAGCCCTAAAGAAACCATAACTGCCATCCAAACAGATAAATGCAAACCCATGTTTCTTGCTGCGTTATTTACAATAGCAAAGAGATGGAAGCAACCCGAGTGCCCATCAACAAATGAATGGATAGAAAAACGATGATATAATCGTACAATGGAATACTACATAGTACTGAATAACAATGAACTCGTAAAACATTACACAACATGGGGGGCCCTGAAGCACATCATGGTGAGTGAAATATCTCAGTCATAAAGGAGATATGTATCTTTAGGATATATTCTTAAAAGTGAGATTGTGTACCAGTGAGGGAGTTTTTCTTTTGCTTTTCAAGGAGAGGAGCAAACGCCGGGGGGGTTGTGCGGGGAGAAGGGTGCAACAATGAATGAATGGAATCCCAAAATCTCTGTAGATGTTCACTGAAATGAAAAATAAACAACCTAAATTTAAAAAAAAGTGGGATTGTTAGAACAAAAGTAAACACACATTCTGTTTTGTTTGATATTAATCCCTCCAAAGGCTATTCTAATCGTTTTTGGATAATATTCAGTAGAATCTTGCTTGCATGTGAAATCAGTGACACTGTTCTGTAGTTTCCACACTTAGTTGGGTCACCCTTCTTTGGAATGGGAACAAATATAGATCTCTTCCAGTCAGTTGGCCAAGTGGTTGTTCTCCAGATTTCTTGGCACAACTTGGTGAGCACATCCAGGGCAACATCTGTTATCTGAAATACTTCAATTGGTATACTATCTATTCCTGGGTCCTTATTTTTTGCTATTTCCTTCAAAGCAGCTTGCACTTCTTCCTTCATCACCATAGGCTCTTGCTCATATGTTATTTCATTAAATTCTTCTGTATCTGCCAATTCCTTTCTATACAATGACTCAGTATATTCCTTCCATCTTCTTTTAATACTTCCTGGATCATTTAATATTCTGCCCAAAGCATCCTTGATTATAGCAACTCGAGGTTTGAATTTGTTCTTCAGTTTCTTGAGCTTAAGAAATGCTGAGCGAGTTCGGCCCTTTTGATTTTCTGACTCTAGCTCCTCTCACATTTCATTGTAGTATTTTGCTTTGTCATTCCGAGCTGCCTTTTGGAATCTTCTGTTCAGCTCTTTAGTATCTTGAATTCTTCCTTGTGCTTTGGCTTCTCTACACTCCAGTGCAATCTTCAGAGTCTCTTCTGACATCTATTTTGTTCTTTTCTTCCTCTTCTGTCTTTGTAATGACCGTTTGCACTCTTCCTGGATGATACCCTTGATATCCTCCCACAACTCATCTGGTCTTCGCTCATTAGTGTTCAAGGCCTCAAACCTGTTCCTGAGATGATTCTGAAATTCAGGTGGGATGAAATTAAAGTCATATTTTGGCTCCTGTGGATTCCATTTAATTTTCCTCAGCTTCGGCTTGAACTTGCATATGAGTATTTGGTGGTCTGTACCATTTTTCCTTTCTGCAGCAGTATTCATGTCTATTCCTCAGATCCTCAGCAAAGTTTGTTGTTGGATTTTAATTTTTTTTTAAAGTCTGATAGGTAAGAAATGCTATTTCATAATAGCTTTGAATTTTTTAACTTTTTTTTATGATCTAAATGAAGACTTGACTCATTAAGGACTGTATATCTTTCCCCCTGAACTGCCAGTTCAGAAATTATATAAGTTGTAATTATTATTAATGATAGATTTTTAGCAGTGAGTTTTTTTCAGAGTACCTGGCTGGCACAAATGGTTAGTTAGTACTCAAAAGATTGGTTGATCAAACCCAGCCAGTAGAACTTCATCAGACAGGTTTGGCAATCTTCTTCTGAAAGGGTAACAGCCTTTAATATCTTATTGGGTAATCCAGTTTGCACACCTGGGGTTGCCATGATCCAGAATCAGATTGACAGCAACTACCGCCTGTTTGTTGTAACTGTTATCTGGCCATTTCAGTGTCAGAATCCTCATCATTATTGTTACTGTTGTGTATCATTGAATCAAAACTGACTCACAGCTGACCCTCTAGTGGGTTTCCACTGACAGTAAATCCCATAGGAGTAATATTTTTTTAAAAAAATTGTATATATTAACGTACATTAGCTGTTCAAATGTGAATGTAAAGCTATTTTGTCATCATAGAGTGTAGAATAGCAGCAGAACACCACCTTTATTTTTGTAAAGTCTGTGACTAAAACCATCACATGTGAAACTTACCATGTATACAGTTGTGTCATAAGAAAATGGAAGATGCATGTAGAAGTAGGGAGCAAGACCTTAGTTGGCTGGTAAGATGTCTTTAGTAATATGGTAGATTGTGTTCTGAGAGATTGCGACAGGAATTTGGTACTAACTGGATTAGATGTGCTCCTTCTCTGGGCAGGTAGTAGACAACGTGACTGCTACCCTGCAGACAGTTGCAGACCCATTTTATCAGACGGATACAACTGACAATATTTCCTTAAGAGAAACACACATTTTATTGTAAGGACTAAAACATACAATTTTATTATAAGGAAAAATGTACTTGCTTATTATTAATCTTAAAATAAAACACACACACCCCCCCCCCTGCTTTCTAGTTAATGTATTCCTTCTTTGGGTTCTCAAGATTATAAACTGTCTACAGGAACAGATTTGCCTAGCCTTTCCTCTTCAAAACATTTGGTCATTTGAGCCCAACATGTTACTCATTATGCCATCAGGGCACCACAATCCCTTTTCTCTCTCCTTCTTTTCTCCATCTCCTCCTCCCTCTCCCCCTCTCCTTCTCCCTCTCTCCCTCCCTCCACATACACACTCACCCTCTAATTTTCTCAAAACATAAAACATATAAAACTTTAAACAAGTTAAGCAGGACTTTTCAATGCAAAAGTTGTCACATACATTCTTTTTATATTTTCTCAAAATGTTGTTAGATGCCATAGAGTTGATTACAACTCTGTAAGCAGCAGTTCTCAACCCTGTTTGTCCTGTACCTTCCTCACCATATCTGATATGCGTGAGCCCACTGTTACAGTCACTGTGTTAAAGGTCTCTCTCCTTTTTTGACCTTCCACCTTTCCCACATGATGTCCTTTTCCAAGGGCTGGCCCCTTGTAAATGAGATAGGGCTTTGCTGTCCTTATGTCTAAGGAACACTCTAGTTGTACTTCCTCAAAAACAGACTCATTTGTTCTTTTGGCAGTCCAAGGGGTGTTCAGTATTCTTCTCCAGTGCCACAATTCAAATGCATTGCTTCTTGTTCTTTCATCATTATTCCTTGTTATCCTTATTTATCTCAAAGTATTAGACAACCTTTAAACATTTGAAGGTTAATGAGTAGCAGTTAGATTTATGCCCAATTTTGTTAGAATAGTTTTATATAAAATTGTAACAGTAAATTTGTATAAAGCAAGGTTCTTTTTATCATCTTAACTATTTTTATTCCAGAAAGTAATCTATTTAAAGGCTGAGGTTATAGATTAACCTATATAAGCGTTAATTGGCAACCTCAGATCTTCAGGGTGGGTCACAAAACAGAAAGCAAGCCGAATGAGACTCTCAGTTGCCAAGAGAGTTGTTCTAAATAACAAAAGGGAAATTTTGACCATCAGTCCAAATTAATTTATTCTTACCTATAAATGACTTGATTATTTGCTTTTATACATAGTAGTATATAAGAAGCCATAAAATGGTAAAATAGGAAGAATGAGTTAGTACATTGATTGAAAAAGATACACTGTTGGCGATAAGAAGTGACAGTGAATAGAAAAGCAGAAGTTAGGAAAAAATTTTTAGAAGATCTGTGGTTGAGTTTCCTATGGACATAATATTTAAAATAATTATAATAAACCCAAATTCACACTCACCCTCACAGTCTTTCATACTTTTTGAAAGTATGAAACACCAACTTTCTTGACTCTGGGGATACCATTTATAAAATGGGTTACTCATTCGTTTCTGTTGCATTCGAACCAACTCATAGATGACCCTCCAGCAAGTTGTTAAGATGCTATAAATCTGGTGGATTCTGGTGGATTTGAATCATCTGCCTTTGGATTGACAGGGCAACAACTGCTTACCCACTGGGCCACAACATTGATGTGCAGATTGAGAACTGAGATTGCATATTTTGAGAACATTTAGTAAAATAACTGGCATAAAGTGAATACTTAACAAATGATGTCAGTAATTAGTAGATTCTTGCAATGATTTTACAAGGGATGCAACTCTTGGTACTTACGTACTTTAATTGAAAAGTACTTAATATTATTTACGAAGAGCATGCTGCCAGTATGAATGCTTGACCATCTTAGACATGTTGATTGGTACTGAGTGTCGTTGTGTTCTTTTTCTCCTTCACAGCAAAATGAAAAGGAGAGCCTGTTGAAGGAAAGAGATCACATCTTGTCAACTCTGGGTGAGACAAAACAGAACCTAACTGGACTGTGCCAACAAGTCTGTAAAGAGGCAGCTCTAAGTCAAGAACAAATTCAGATCCTCGCCAAGTATTCAGCCTCAGATTGCCCTCTTTCATTTTTAATTTCTGATAAAGGAAAAAGTACTTCTGATGGTGAAATGACATTGCCATCAGTTTTTAGCTTATCTGAGGGGCTTCCAGCTGTGCCGCCCACAGTTGAGCAAAGCATTTGCTACCCCAGCTCCAGAGAAAACAAGGAGTCGGGCTGTGAGAGGGGGCTGGAGTCACGCCGGATGACCACACCTGCCTCTGGGCATGCTGGGCTGGTAGAACAGTGTCGTCAGAGTGGGGGCATCTCAGATTTCTGTCAGCAGATGACTGATAAGTGTACTACTGATGAGTAAACGTGAATTTGCATTCACTTCTTTAAGACTATCCAGTTTTCTACACGAGCTTTGACATTGTCTTCCAATCCTCCTCTGGCTGTCTGTTTCTTAATGTGTATTATTGATGTGCGTGCGTGTGTGTGTGTGTATCTGTGTGTATGTGTGTGTATTGGTTTTTCTTAAGTCAAGCCTGATTTCTTGAGTTTCACAAGAGATTCAGAAATTATTTACTTCCTGGATACTGAAAAATCACATGTGAGAATGCAATAGACTTTAAAATTCATGTTTTAAAGACTAATAGCTATTAGTAGTAACTCCCAGCATTCAAAATAAATATAAGCATGTGAACAGTAGAATATCAAACAACATCTTTAACAACTTGAAATATCTGCAGATAGTTCTTTCTCAAGCAGCAGCCTGTAGAAGTTGAATAATGCTACCCTTTTGCAGTGTACTGATTTAAAAGAAGACATTGCCTCACCTCTTCTGAAGCAGTGATTATAGAATTCTGTCCTAATCAGAAGTAGGGTTTTGGGCACAGTGGACCTGCATATTTATGTAGGACTGCAGTGTGAAAAAAACATTGTCTTGCTTGAATCCTAGAACCTCTATCTTCAGCTCCTACTAAGAAAAGAAGTTGTGACTCTTAAGCTGCATGGGGAATATTTAGTAAATTGAACAGGTGATTGGCTTGAAAGTGAGAGGTTCCCAAAATTCAATGTATTCTTGTCACTTTGGAAAGAAGAAATAGGACTTGATATACAGTGGCTTGAGTGATTGGCAATGAGTAAATGCATTGGCTAAATTATTAATTTACTTAGCACCCTGGCGAGCTTACCAAAATACAAGGCTGCTTATGCAAGAGATCACACCCAGCAGGGGCAACAGTTGTTTGTGTTTACAAGAAGTGACAGTTGTTTTCCATCTTGCTTTTGGAATTCTTTGTCTTATTTGTGAATAAACATTACAGACGATATTTCAGTGTAGCTTCTTGCCACTAGGCCATCAGAGCAGCCTAGTTACCATGTAGGTTTGTGAAATAGGATGAAATTAAGGAAAAATATCTTGCTCCATTTTGGTTTTGAATTTGGAAACTAGATTTAGTCCTTGCTCTCTTCTTCAAATCTAATATCTTTGAAGATGCTACAAAGAAGTAGTTTTTGGTATATGTATATTTAAAAAGATTTTGCCTTAGACATCTAAAAGAGACATTTTTATACCTTGCTGCCTGGGTATAGTGAAGGGGCTGTTTCTAAGCAGTGAATAGCAGTCCACTACAAGTCATGAGTCTGAAGCCGGTAAACATTAACCACAAGAGTATGTGGGGGACCAGTCTTAATATTTCAGAATAATTGTTCTGTGTGTTTGTGAGTGTGAGTTTGAGAGTGTGTGTGTGTGTGTGTGTGTGTGAGAGAGAGAGAGAAAGTGAGAGACCAGTGTTTTATGTTATCTTTGTTGTTGACCTAGTTAAGAGGAAACTAGTTCGGCTTGTTTATTTTCTAGAGACTTACAAATGCACTCAAGAATTTGTCAGGGAAATGATAATTCTGTGATAATGTGTCCCATACTACAAAGGAAATAACCTTATGTAGCTACTTCTTTGATACTTTAATTTTCAACTTCACAAGATAAACGAATATAAAAACTGTTCGTTTACAAAATGTAAACTCTTATACAAGCCAATGGAATCCTTCATCTTCTACCTCACTGTACACTCAACTGTTTGCCATGTCGGTGTGTTATGTGCAAATGTCAGTCTCTTGCTTTTATTGCTTTTGTAAATAATATGCTTTGTAAAGTTACTATTTTATGATAAAATCAAGTTGTCTCCGGAAATTAAATATGATTTTTAAGGCACTTGGTTTAAATTTCTCTCTGCATATACACAGTTTAGCATTATTTTAATGGTATTCTGATTATTGGCCAACTGTAATATTTCTTAAAATAAAGCATTACTTTGTACTAGCCAGCATGTAATACAAGTAACTACACTACCTCATACTCACATGATTTTTCAAGTTGTAATACAGAGAGATTAAAAAAAAAGATTTTACCTGTCTTTTGACCATAAGATGGAGAAGTTTTCTATACATTGCATAGCATTATACATTTATGCCTATTCTAACATTAACTTCTAAAGAAGTTTTTCTATGTTTGTTTCAAGCCAGTTTGTTTTGTTTTTGAGGCTGCTGAGGACAAATGACAGGATGTTGTGTATACAATGTATACCTTTTCCTTCATGCAGAATTTTGATGAGGCTATTTTTAATTTAGTTCATTGCATATTTACATGATCATTGTTCTCATGAACTGATTGCTCAGTGCTTGATCATTCTTTAAAAGCTTTTATGTTTAATTCAGTGAAATAATAAAATTTCCCCCTTATTTGAATTCAATAGCTATTACAAATGATAGGTTGAATTGTTACATTCAAAACAAATGTGGATATAATCTCAGTTCTGTGTAGATTTTATAATTTACTGTAGCATTATGCTAAATCAATTGCAAATAAGAATGGTTTGTATTTAATGCAGTAAATTACCATACAGGTTGTATGTGGACCCTCAGCCACGTTAACAACTTGGGGGGTGGGGGGGGAAGAATAAAAAAAAGACAATGCTATAATGAATTCTCAGGGGAACTTTTTTTTGGCTATGAAACATGTATTTTGAACTTGTAAATATTTTAAATGTTTTATTAAGGCATGAAATAAACTATTCTTTGAAACTTTTTGGGCAGAATGAAAATTTATAGCCATTATGCTAAATAATGGCATACTGATTGTAAAATAGACATAAATAGTAGTATCTATTGATTTTTTAAAATTTTTCATGATACAGTTTTCTAACAATGCAATAAAACCACTGACCATGTTCTGTCAAGACCATGTTTCCTTAAAAAGGCACTTTCAGAGTAATTTATATTTTTTCCAAATCTATTTACCCAAATGTAGCAGAACTATAAATGTTAGATGTTGGTGATATGTTGGCATAGTTAAATAAAGTTCTCTAAAATTGCTTCTAATTGAATAGAGTTGTACATCCTGTTCCTATCTTCCTACGTTGTTAGAAGTGAGATCAGTTTTTGAAAACTCCTAGAGTGCAGTTCTTTCCCACATACATGCTGTTGCCTGGATTAGAATTTAGGATTGATAGCAGCTATTTTGATTTTACTATGAAAGTTTGATAATGTTAGTCTTGTGGTCAGTAATTGGTGTGCTTTTGGTATTGGTAATAATTAGCAAGTTATATGTCTGAGAAAAATATTCCTAGCACTCATAGGTCTTAGGAAACACAAATTCTGGCCTTCTAAATTATTAATTTCAGTTTTTGCCATAATAAAAGGCTGTTTTAAGGGTTACTATCATGGTTCTGTGGAAATAATGTGCTTACCAACAGCCTCTGGGAGATAATATAAAATATTTTATGGTAAAATATAAATTACACACAAACCTACAGAACAAGAGTCATTTTTTAAAAAAGGTATAGAACCCTACAAGATCACATTCAATTTTTCACCAGGCCCTTTTAAAACAAGCATTTAGCAGCTGCTAAGAGTAGTCGGGAGTGAGGTGGAGTGATGTTGGGGAAGAGGGCTCAGATACAGGATAGATAGTGTGTAGGGCCAAGGATAGTGTCAAACATAACTATGCTCAGGCAGCCCCAGCACCAAGAGTTATCTGAAGAGTTTATTCTGAAGGAATCAAAGAATTTTATCTTCATTAGTTCAGTGTAGAAAACTTTTAAAGGTAAACAGAACTTTTTCCTCCTAATTTTTGCTCAGGTCAGCTGTAACCAGAGAAGTGCTTGATGCCTCAGTGAATGGATTTTCAGAAGCTGTAGCAAGAACTGGCTGTGTGAGGTCATTACTCCTTCAGGCCCCAGCAGATAATAGGTTGAAGATTGAATCTGATGTGCTCATTTTGTCCCAAAGAGTGAATGTAACGAGTAACCTACTGGCGTTCTACTTAAGACAACTAGCCAATAAAAAATTCTTATGGATCACAATATACTATAGTTCTGGAGGTGAGTTTTTTAGGCTGGAAGACACTGTACAATAGCTGTAGCTATGGATTCTTACATACCAACAATCATGAAGGTGGCCCAGGACCAGGCAGCAATTTGTTCTCCTTTTTGGGAGTTGGAGCCAATGATGGCAATTAACAACAGTTGCCATGAAATTATCTCAGCATTGGCCTCATACCATGATTGTTTCACAACCAGCCAACACCCAAGCACTAAGCAGTTATCCCAGGCAAAATTTTGTTCCCATAACTGAGGGCTGCCAAAGACCGTAGCAGAAACTCTTGATTTTTTGAACAGAAGAAAACTTGATTTTAGCTTCTCCAAGATGCCAGTTTTCTGGAGCTTGCAGCCTGTCACACTAAACTAGGGAGACTCTTCAGAAAGGGGTTGATTTTGGTCCTACACATTGATCATTTTGGAGGGAAAGGCTTGATCTTTGCATGACTGTCATACTTTGTTTCCCTTCCACATGATAGCTAGACCGATTGAGCGAGGACTCCCTCTAGGGGTCACAAGGGATATTTGTCTGCTTTTTGGAAGGGATTATTGCGTGTCATACATAGTGAGATTGGCGCAAGATAGGGAAGGGTTCAGGGTTGTTGTTCATAGGGTCGCTGTGAGTCGTAGTCATCTTGACAGCACACAACAACAACATTGTGACTGAGACATGCCCCTGTGGTTCGTTCCTAAAAAGACTGTACACAGGGGAGCGGATCACACGGAGGCCTTGCTCCATCTATCCTCAGTGCTAGAAAGACCATGAGGAGGGGAGATAGAAGGGAGGGCATTCTGCAAATGTGGCAAATGACAGTGTTATAATGATGTGCTAAAGTGACAAATGACAATGTTACAGGAGCCCAGGTGGCATAGGAGGTTACAAGTTGGGCTGCTGTTCAAATCCATTAACTATAGGAGAATGAGAATTTCTTCTCCTTATTACAGACTCAGAAACCCAATGTAGGGCCATCATGAGAAGAAATGAATGACAGGTGGT